CTGAGCACAATCAGTACACCCAACAGGAAGGATAGAAACATAGAATCGTTTAGGTTGGAAATGACCTTTAAGATCATTGAGTCCAACAGTTAACCCAGCACTGGCAAGTCCACCACTAAACCATGTCTCTAAGCACCTAATCTACGTGTGGTATAGATAAGTACATGCAGGTATCTCTAAATAACTCCAGGGATGGTGACTCAACCACTTCCCTGGGCAGCCTGTTCCACTTTAATCAAATTAAAACACAGTGTAAAATATATGAAATAATAAAAGAAGATAAAGGAGAACTACGCTAATACAAATGTGTACTGTTTCTATAAAAGGGAGATATAAATAAGATGTAGACTAAAATTCAGAAATTATCACTTTCATGGCCTTTAAGAGGTCATGTGACTCATTAGGTATTTAGCCAAAAATTAGTAGTAAGGGATATTTTAAAACATGAACTTCTAAGAAAGAACAAAGAGAGTGACATTTCTTCTAAAGCAAGGACATTTGTTTTTATAGTAACGAAATTTCTAGAATACCCACTGTGAGATGACAGTTCAGTTTCTTTCTTAGCCTGTACAAGGTCAAATCCCATCTTCTCAGTTCCCCAGACTGCATTCTGAGCAGCAGGAGGTACATCAGTTTGAAGCAAAGGTACTTGTTTCTTTGTTAAGATGCTCTACAAGTTTTATCCAAACATCCTTTTACATAAAACTCATGCTAGTTTGACCTAGGGGCTATAACTAAGCTCCCTCCTTTCAGGTAAGTGCTTGGATCATGAAGCTGTGTCACACCCTTTTATGTGAATGAAGTCCCTGTCTTCTAACCAGTCGTCCCCAGACAATCTATGAGTTCTTCATGAAAAGGCCATGAGTGACAAAAGAGAAGAGTATAGCAGTTTATCAGCCCTAAATCTTCTTCCTGAGCTCTCAAAACATTATTGATTAGAAGGTTAGCAATGTCTCCCACTTCCACAGCTGTTTCATCATGGAAAGAAAGAATAAGGCTGCTGTACTTAGAAAAAAAAAAAAATCTGAACTCTTTCTTTGGAAGATGATTTTAGGCTGTGAATGGGAAATAACAGAAGGGCCTTTCTGCTACCTGTAATCAGATACGATAAACACAAGAAAGGAGCAGCATTTGAGATTTTTCTTCACGCTTTACATTTTGATTGCTAACGAAAGGGACCTTTTGGATGCTACTCTGAAGGAGCTAACTCTGTTAAATGTCTTTATGGGGAATTTAGAGTCCTACCTCAGGTTCTGAAGTTCACTCTCAGATCAGCTCCATAACACATAGTAAGAGTTAGGTACCAGGTGCTTTAATAAAATTGGCCCTAGGTGACTAATGTACGCTACCAGAATGAATCAGTAGCAGAACAATTGAAAGATCTCGAATTTTCTGAGTTTGGTGCTCCTCACAGCAACAGTCCATGAAATTTATGGAAGAGACTCATCGTTCTCTGTAATTTTTATAACCATATCAGCAGCCAGACCTTGTCAGTTCGTTGTTCTTGCAAAAGGAAATTCATATGGTAATATGCAGGCTAACTCCTCCGTGAGTAGAAACCACATATATAAGGATTCATGTTAACATCTAGAACAGAAGGAAGGCCTTTTTAGGCATTATAAATATCAGCACTCATCACTGTACACAAGTCGATAATTAGAGTAATTATTCCAAATTAGCAACTGCAAACCCTACAGATGGGAATTTCAGGGGCTGGTAACTGTTGTAAGAAAGCATTTCTTCAAGCTGCAAAGCCTTTCCATATTTTGGAAGATGTATATTCAATGACCCTCATTACACGATGTTAAACATTTTTGTTAATTTTGCAAAATAAAAATCTTTCCTGCACTAGTATAATGCTTCTGCTTTTCTTTAAAACTATTTTTATTGGGTCTGAGATGGCCTGGATTTGGAAAGACTTTTCCAAGTACTTAACCTATCAGCTCAAGTAAATGAAGAACGAGGCTGAACTGGGACTCATGTTTTGCTTCTATTCTCAGTCCATGAGGAAAAACAATGTCAAGTGCCCTTCTGTTGGCTTTCGAATATGGCAAAAAGACTCCGACTGTTCTCCAAAACTCTGCATGAAACCTTCTAAGAGAAGACATTGTCAAACTTGTTCACTAGGTTCCAGAAGCATTTTCCCTGTGTTCATAATATTGTGCTCCTTTGAGTGGCTGAAGGGAAAAAAAACAACCAATCAAACAAACCACATATTTTAGTTGCAAACAATGTTTTTGCAACCATAAAGGTTTCTATGATAGCCAACAGGTCGATCTGATTAGAAAAGTTTTCTCGGTGCCTATGTGTGTACCATGAGTACATCACAAGCACAAATGGAGCAGGCCTTCTTCAGTTTTTAGCTTTGGTCTTTAGCTTTTATGTGAATTCATTTAACTTTTGAATACAGAAAGCAAAAGAAGTGTAATCAACAGAAACAGTAAGGCTTATAACTGTAAGATTTGTCCTTATCACAGTGAAGAAGCTTAACTTTTTAGATACTTTAATGTAAAAAATCAGTCATTCCTATCTTTTAAAGTAAGATTTCAACTTCAATCAATAAATACGCCTGTGTTTACTCATTTAAATCCAGTCCTTATCTAGTTATTTGAACATGGAATTTCAGACAAAATAAAGTTGAGGAAGTAATAATTTTCTGCATTTGAGTAAAAGGTTATTGATCCATGTATTTTTAAACTTCCTATTTAATTATCTTTGAGGTAAAATGAAGGGAAAAGTTTCAAGCCAAAATAATTATTCTATGAAAAAGTTTTGAGTTGTTTGAAAAAAAAATGAATAGTAAGACTGAACATGATAATTCAGCTTTAGTGCTGAAAATTGAACAGTATGTCTTGTAGTTGTCCTATGTTGATGACAATAAATGCTTTTTCAACTTTTGGATTTTGCTTTTAGTCATAAAGAATAATTAAAAGTGAGAGTATGTTTGTTTGATATCAACTAATAAGATAGCTCTCTAATTCAGACTTTTGCAGTTAGTTGTATTGCCAGTTGTAGATTTAAAAACGCTTAAGAAAATATATTTATTCTTTGTATTTTAGGAGACTCACTATGACTACTGCAACTACATGTAAAAACCTTTTAGGTCTCCTATAATCTCAAAAAACCTTCCTGCAATATTAATTTCATACATACTAGGTCCTAGAAAAGAAATGAAAATGATGTATGACATTTACAGTCTTCGAGTTCGGCAATATTTTTGATGTTCCCTTTCCAATCGCCATGCAAAGCTGAATAATGTGAAAAGTTTGTTTCCTTGCATGATCTAACCCATATTTCATTTAGATTCACTCTCTGTCCTGGTACATTGTATAAGAATATGACTCATAATGTTTTTCTCTGATATTTATCTCTCACTTTTTTCTGATCTGTGCAATCTATTTCATCTTTTCTTATCTGACTTCATTTTCTGTCCTTTTTTTTTTTCTGTCCTGAACTTGTTTCTTTAATTTAATATCTCTATTTTTACTTGTTCACTCCCTTTTAAAACTTCGTTTCCCCCTTAATCCCTTTTTGGGACTCAAAGCATCAGGTCTATTCACCTGGTATGTGTGGCTAATTCATTTATCTCAAAAGGGCAGTAAAGATGACAGGCAGATCATATTAGTTATTTAAATCCAATCTACAAGACTGCTGAAACCAATTGGAGCATTTGCTTCAGCTCTGCAGTGAACTCTGTCTAGAGACTCTAAAGTCTCAAATATGTTTGACTTAAACATCTTTATTAACATCCTGCTTTACAGAAACTCCTAAACATATATATTTAACTGGAATTTCAGATTTATAGTATAATAGTAAATAATGCCATTATACTGCTTAATATATATGAAGTCATGTTGATAAAGGATTTGATGCTGACAAGTGCATCAACCCTGGTCCACTGATGAACTTTGTCACATCCTTCTTTTTAACCGTGAGTCCTTATAATGTATTTTAGAGAATTGCTTATATCCTTTAAGTTAAGTAAATGCTCAAGTGTGTTTCTGGGTTAGAACCAAAGGGCTCAGCACCTTGGAAGATTAAACAAAAAAACAAAAAAAACAAACAAACAAAAAAAACCCAAAACAACAAAAACAAAAACAAAACAAAACAAACAAACAAACAAAAAAAACCCCTAAACCAAAAAAACAACCAAACAAAAAAAAGAAAGTGATACTGGCAAAGACAGGCTTGTTGAGTTTATCCATGAGTCTTAAAACAAGGCTTATTTCATTTTGGATTGGAAAATCCACTCTTGCTCAGTTCTATGGTGAACTGAGACATATCCATCCACGAGGTGTGGATTATCTGACTACCAATCTTACTATTTGGAAAAACCACCTCAAGTGCATAAAAGCAGCTGCAATTACATGTATTGATTAACTGGTTGCATTACTGGTACATTACAATCTCTATGAACTATTTTGCAATTTCTAAATAAGAAAAAAGACAAATTACCGCTTTTGTTTTTTCCCCACAGAAGTTTGCCCTAAGTCACAGTCCTATCCATTTATGACAAGATCAGAGTTTAGTTTAGCTTAAATATGACTTTCACCTTCCTGAAAGGCCTCCAAAGCCCCATATAAGGAGTATTGGTAATAAACTCTGAAGTGCTCAGCTTTCAATGAGTTTTAGATCTGAGACACCTGATCAACTTACTGTTATCAGCTGAGAATCCACGTGCAAACTTTTAAGAGTTTAAGCCAAGCTTCTTCCTGCATTTTAGAGCATGTCTGCAAACAGATATTGCAGCTCAGCTCACAATCCATGACTTGGTTGTTCCTTAGCTTCCAACTTTTATAAACTGAAAATTTCCAACTTTCAAGTCAGAATTAAATGGTCAAATCATCTAGGGACCTTAGAAATTTTTTTATAAGTGATCTGTTTCTGAATAATAAAAAATTTATTACTTGTCTCTTTAAAATGAAAAAATGAAGGAAGTACTTAAATATATTAAAAGAATAAATAAAGATTCCATCTATGTGTTTTATGATCTCTATTAGGTACCTCAGGATGAATGGGGAGGATACCCGGCTGGTGGGAAAGACGAAGAGATCCCCTGCAGAAGAATGAGGAGTGGGAGCTATATTAAGGCCATGGGAGATGAAGAAAGTGGAGACTCTGATACTAGCCCCAAGACATCACCAAAATTAACGGTTCGACCGGAGTCATTATTAAAATCCATTGGACAACGACCACTGGGAGATCATCCAAAGTAAGCTTTGCTATACCATGTTATACACCTTTCTGAAAGCTGTTATGACTTGGGTAATTTTCCTTTGGGTTTTACTGGCAGTGGTCAGCATCCCTAATAAAAAATGATCTGTACTTAAAAAGGTAACTTGCGTGGCTTCATTTTAAATTAGCTGCAGTTTCTTGTGATTACTGGATGAAAAACTGCCATCTTCCTCCATCCATGAAATAAAACTGTTATGTTTACTGAAGGAAATACATACACATTTTTGTCAAAAGTTCAAAATTCTGAACTTTTCTTCACTAGGATTGTTCTATAAGTCTTTCTTATTTCATTGCTTTCTCTGAAACAGAAAATACACTCTATTCTATACAAAATATAATAGTATTGTACCGTGTATTTGGCATCTTACACCTTCTTTATCAGTACAACGCTTTATGTATCAGCTATACTGTATCATACTGATTTAAACACATTGTAGAGGACTTTGGGTTGTTTTTCATGCGTACTACCTACAATATAGCCTATTAAATAGCTAAAGCAAATCTTAAAACTATAGGGAAATATATAGTTTTATATGTTTTCCAATAGATCTTTGTTTTTATGTCATTTTTATCCTTTCAATATATCATTTTATAAGTAAACTGTAAGTATATTTATGAGGAGAGTTTCAAAGTAGTAACCTGATTTAAAATCTGTAGCTTCTATTAATGTAACTAGGCATTTCTCATGATTTAGAAAATTGATCTTTTTGTCTAGGTCATAAACTGAAGAAATTAAGAGTGAAACCTTTAACCAAAGGGGTTTTGTTGTTCTGTAGGTAATACCATGTATAGTATACTATATAGTATACACCTTTTCATAAAATAAAATAAAACAAAACAAAACAAAAGCCTTAGGTAAAAATCCTTTGGGGTTAATTAAATTGAATTATTTATCTTGCAGTCTGCAAGAAAACCACCAACTTTTGCTATTACTGAAGAGAAGAGTTTACAACTTTATTTATCATATAGCTTGGTCAACATATCTGTAGGCTTAATTCAGGTACAAAACCAAAGGCACCTGTACCATGAGCTGCTGTAAGATTTCTGAGACATCATGAAACAAGATATACAGATCTCTGCTCTAGATTGGCAACTAAAATACCTTGTGACCTCTCAAAGGGGGCCAGAGACCTATGTTTAGGCCACCGAGACAAATTCTGAATGTGAATCTGCAAGATTCATTAGAATATTTTATCTGATGAGGAAACCTGGCCTGTAACAAAAGTACTACTGGTCTCAGTACAGAAACCTGACCATGGACCCTGAGAAGGTTTTGGAGTGGTCCCTGGCAAACATGTCCCCTGCATCTATTAGCACTGTCCCTGCCACTGCCTGGCTGTGTTCTGGGCATTGGTGTAGGGCAGGTATCATTCCCAGAGATAGTTTAGTTGCAGCCATCCCAGTTTTGAGGGGTATATCTTATCTGTTCTAGTACAACAAAAATCTTTTCCCAGAGACTGTTCTAACTTTCCAGATACATTCTATGCTGTTCTTTGTTTTCAGCTTTGTTTGGACCACCCACAAGGGAATCTGAGTAGCAGCACAAATTTTCCAGTGAGCAGGTCTTGGTTCCTGCCCTGGATCTCTAAGGCTTGCAAACAGGTCCAGACAGCAATTAAACACACGTATTCAAGCAAGAAATATATTTCAAGGAAAAAGTATTCCTGATCTGTTAAATCCTGAGGGCGGATGGTTATTCATGGGTCAATACCAAATGTTGCATCTTCTGTCAGTTTTCCATGTATTGCAAATACACCACTCAAAATATAATAGATTAAAAGAGGGGTGCAATGTTGATGCATGTACTGGGGTTGACAGCTGTGCCTGTTCATGACCCTGAAGGATTTCATGGCATAGTTACCATTAACCACAGCCGGAAAAGGAGGAAGCTTTTTGTAATACTATGAAATATTATTAGGGGCTCTGTTGAGAATTTGTCACTATCACTGCACCGGGAATAATTGAGCAGCCAGTCTGCTACTGACAGATATTTTTTAAGTCCTCAGTTTTTCCTTAAACAGAAGGACAGCACCTTGAACCTTCCAGCCTAACATACATGGGTTTTCCCAGTGAACTTCAAGCAGAAATGTGACAACTATTCTTGTTCTTGTATTTTTTTCTTGAAAAAATCTGCAAATTTCAGCAATCCTAAAGCAGACAGAAAATTTCTTGTCTCACAGAAATACAAAGTGCTGATCCTAAACCTGGGTTTTCACCACAACCCATTTCCTCCCATATATTTCTGTCTCCCTGTCTCTGTGGTTACCTTCTATGTCTGGCAGATTTCTATGAAGGATGTAGCAATGGATAATGGTTACAGAGCCTTCCTTGCTCCTCCAACATGGCTCAGTAATCCCCATTGCATGCTGAGTACCACTGATCACGCTACTGAGCCAGAAGCCAGGGCTTTGAACAGCATTCCTGCATGTATAGCAGGGCTGAATAGCATTTCTGGCATGTGTTATGAGAAATTACATAATTCAAGATGTCAGCTGCATTATCTGGCTTTTTAGCTTGTTTACCCAGATGGAGGGAGCTAGTGCACAGAAATAAAATGGGGTTTTAATTCTCTTAGTCCTTCACTTGGGTGGCAGAGTAGCTCAGAACTGGGATCAGCCAGACAGACCATCAGTAAACCTGAAATAAAAGCTGAATATTGATAGTTTTGGCAATATAAAAACATGCATTGGCTGCAAAACAAATGTAGATAGATTTCATATGAATAAACCTAGTTTTCTATCACTATCCTGAATAGGATAAGACAAAATTAGAACAGCCTTCACTTAACCTTCAACAGATGTTTGACATGTGTGCGACTTTCTCCTTTGAGTTTTATCAGGCATCTTTACAAGATTTTTTTTTTCCCATTTAGATTCTGTTTCTGCTTAGACAAAAGTAGTTGCTACTTTGTTGGTTTGTGTTGCTCGAAGATTCAGCAAATTGAACGTTAAACGTTTATAAACAATAAATGTGCATATTTTTATCTGAAAAACTAACATACAAATAGGTAAATGTAACTGATATAGTACAAGAATTAAAATTCTGAAATAATTTTTTTAAGTTGTTTTCGGAAAGGAGTATATTTTACTCTGAGTGAAAAAAAAGAAGTGCAGAGTCTGCCACTGCTGGTTTTATACAACTGACAGAAACAGGTCATACACCCAACTACTGCCATATGATCACCACCTCTGTCAAACTAGGCTAGCACAGCCAGCATGGTCGCCAGCCTGCTTCCAACCTAGGACACATGGCCCACCCCTGGATAGTGCCCATGCATGTTCCAGGGATTAACTCTGTGGGATGCAGCCACCCTCTCTGTAGGATGAGAAAGCTTAACCATACAGGTCAGTTGGCCAAAGGGTCAGGTAATGGACGTGGCTTATTTCTGAGTATAGCTATGGCATAAGGGGCTCAGTTTTTTCTGGATTTTTCAAAAATTAAATGTGCCTAAATATGTAGATTATTCACTGAAGATAAATGCATTTCAATTCTTTTTTTTATGAATGCTGTTTCAAAAAACTAAATAGTGTGTTGGACTACTTAGTCCTGTGACATCAAGCTGAAGACCAGTGTAATTTATTGGTATTATTATGAAATTGCATTTCAGTGAAATTAATGCAATAAGGCTTGGCGGTGGAGACAGGACACTACCTGAATCTGCTTCCTTTCTACTTTTTGCTTTCTTGAAACGGTGCCAGCAGTCCTATTTAATGTGGAAATTATCTTGGCTCCCACTAGTCCAGGGGAAATATTTTTGTTTGGTTTTTTTTTTATTTTTTTTTCTTTTATTTTGCACTATGATTAGGCATACAAAATCTTTCTGATGTTGTTTTGGTATACTATGAACAAATAGTATACGTAGTCTTCTAGAGGTGAAATGCTAGCCCCTTGTATTCAGTCTATTGTTTTCTGCTGTGCTGTGATGCTACTGAGGATGAAGTTAAACTGTGTTGGAAGGCAGTTTGCACAGGTAGCTTGTAGAAGGTAGGTCGTATGCTGCTAGGTGTTTTCATTTACAGTAAAGGTCGAAACAACCAAACAGATTATGGAACTGATAGCTGAAACAAAGGTAATGTCTGTCCTAAGTAAGTTTTGTGCAATCCTGGAAGAGAGACTGACCCACATGATTTGAGTATCCTTCTAATGTAGTAAATGTCTTTTTTTTCTGTATTTATGACAAAACCAAGCAAAGCTGAGATGGAAGCCTCAGAGACACTGGGATCCAGAAAACAAAGCTGAAAAGAAACCAAGAATTTGGGACTCTGCAATAGGAAAACAATTCTATGACTAAAGATAATATTCTGGTTATTTGATGCTTCTCATTTTCAGGAAAAGAGTACTTAATATACCGATTATGTAAATGAACAGGATAACACTATAGAAATAGCAAATTCCATTTTCAGTATCTCCTTTTTGAAGTGTTGCGAAGGACTCTGAAAACCGTCTAACCATTTAGTCAAAAGGGATAGCAATAGCATTTAGCCCAAAGTAAATACACTCTATTTGAAGATCATACTGGTATCACTCACACAAATGAATAGCCGTGCTGTGCTGCAGTTTTCCATTATGACTCACAGGAAACTAGATGCTGCAAACATGAAGATGAAATAGGTTAAGCTACAATAAAATAAATTCAGTGACAGCAATGCGTACTTCTGTTCTGCGAACCTCTAATGGCAGACTGTTCTGTGTCAGCTGGTAGTCCAGACACCTTAAACTGATGGGTGGGCAGACAGAAAGACATGCGAGCAGATAGGTAATACAAAAATGTAGTGTATTAATTAGGCAGGAAATCTGCTATAGCATAAATTATTTGGGGAACTACCACAGTACAGTACCATTGATACTTTGGTTTGTCTTGACTGTGTTCTCCACTTAACCCTCTGCCAGGTTTTGGCCCCTGTATGGAGTAATGTCTTAAAGTCTGAGTCACAGTAACAGAGAGAGCATCTGTGCCTCCCTCAGATGTTTAATGTC